GGGAGCTGGAGTCCTGGCGAGCCTGCCTTGCCCAGCTAAGGCGCTTTGTGACAGCGGAGGGGTGAACTACGAGCCCCATGATGCTTCGCGCGCCTCCCTCTCAGGGACCTGCTGGGAAACAGAGTCCCGGGGATTAAGCCACACTTGTAACGTTTGGTGGGAGGCAAAGGAACTACGACTCCCGAAAGGCCAGAACAGAAGGTTCTCTCGCCCGGACGGAACCCGCCGGCTTGAAGTTCAGTGCCGCGTTCTAAGGGCTCCCGTGAGTTGGAGAGGTTAGCTCTCGCGCCCTCCGCTGCAGAAGCGGGGAATTCTGCAGAGGCGAGTTCATTTCTTTGCTGCTGTACCGAACAGTGACCTGCATTCCCCAGCTGGAGAGCGGGGGAGAGGATTAAGGGAATGTTATTGAATATTAATGAAATATGTTTGGTCGTGTGTGAGAAAACATTAAGCAAACAGTAACCTATGTTGGTATTTTGAATAAGTCGAACGCAAATCGCGACAGCATTTTGATGGTGCCGTTACCACCTCTTCGAGTTGTGGGACGAAATCGTCACGCAGCCGCGGCCTCGCTGACTGTTAAGCAGGAGAAAGACCCACCAGAGCGGCTGCAGACGGCCGGGGCGGAAGAGAAGGGGCCATCCTCTCGCTTTTCGTCCTTGGCTCGCAACCTTTACTCGTGGCCTTTCGATAAGAAGCACGACCTTCCGTACGCATTATGTCTATTCTCTTTTCCTTTGGGCGGGGCATCGCTTCAGGGGGAGCCCATTAAAAATGATTCACCTGCAGTCCGAACGGTGTGGAATGGACCTGCTAAGGTCCGCGTGGATCTTACTTCCCCTGCGACTGAGTTGTTGGCCATAATCAAAGTTGCGCTGGGGCTAATGTATCTAGGCTGCAAAAATCCGGACCACCCTAGTTGGCAGCAAAAAGATGCAGAATACTCGAGTCTTTGCTGCCTACTAGTGGTCGTCCCGCTTTTTTGCAGCCCAGATCTGGTAGTCCCAGCCAAACTGTCCTATTTAATCTTACTTTTTAAATATTCTTTTTACTAAAATAAAACAATAAAATAAAATAAGAGAACCTAGCATGTTGCAAAGCAAAGTTCCAGCCTCAAGTATTATCTGTCTCTCTCACAATGCGTCTAGGCCCCATATAAACCAGAGAGAAGTAGTCCTTAGCAACTGAGTCGGTTAGCAACTGCTCGCAGTTATGACAGTGATGAAAAAGTAACTGTGACCGTCTTCACATTTACTACCTTTGCAGGTCTGCAAAGCAAAGGAAAGCTGAAGTTAAATTGTGATGTTTCATTTAGTGACTGCTTCAGTTAACAACCAAGTTGCCGATCCCAACTGTGGTTGCTAAACGAGGACTACCTCGTTTAGTAAAATGGTTGATGGCTGGAGGCCAGTTGTGAAAGGGAACCACCATGTGGTTCAGTAAAGAGTATTAATCAAATGCATATAATCACTAAGGTTGCTAAGGCTAGAAAGATGTTTGGCAACGAAATGGGCAAAAAGCATCCTACATTTCTTTGTTGGCATCTGATGGTACTTTGTTGATGAACCCTGAGCTAAGAAAGATCATAATGTGAGTGGTGCTCAATCATTAGTTCATTCTCTGCTTTGCTTAAATTAATCTACCCAAGAATGTGTATACTGATAAAGCTGCTTGACACAATTAGCGTTTGTGTTTATAAGCTTTAGTATAGAAGTGCATTAGTGATTTGATTAGGTGGATGCTATGCTAATCTACTTTTGTGAACTGAATGCTATTCCAGCCTCCTTTAACTTGTTTGTTTCAGTAAAATGAAAGACAGACATTTTTTGTCTCATGAATGATTTATATATACATGTGCACAGAGTATATACATGAGGCAGGCCCACCATTTCAATGATCTTCCGGACCAACTTCTAAACAACAACAACAACAAAAAAGCTGTTCATGTCCCATGGGTGTACTTTAAAAAAAAAAAAAAAGGGCCATGGAGGCAGCAACCAGAATGGAGTGCGTGTTTCTCCACCGCACACATTAGCCAGCTGGAGCGGGGATATTTGCCTACAGTGAAATGAAGCACAGTAGAAGAACCGGACAGCACTACTTGAATTGGCACAAGTTGGAGAACACTACTTTCGATATGTAGTGGGAGGATGTCCTGCTTTCTTGTCTAGTGGCATCCACAAGGGCAGTCAAAATCAGCAAGATGTTGGATGGAGCATTGTGAACCAAGCCCCTCCCTTTCTGAATAGGCATGTGATGTGGGTGTATGTAGGATAGGGGTGGGGCTTACATCACAATGCTCCGTCTGCCATCTTGCTGATTTAGACACCCCCTCACTGTTGTCACTGCCTCTGCCCTGTGACAATGGTCACTGGTCAATACTAGTCCTGGGGCAAGCTGGTCATGTGAATCAGCCCTAAGACTTCAGGAGACGTGTCCAAGTGAAGCTGGATGGTGTACTTCAGAAACTCTAATTATAGCCCCTGTTACGTTTGTAGCCATGAGATGTATTCATTTAAGTCCAATTAAAAATTTGGTACAGAACAAAACAACAATAAACTTTTGTGGCTGACCCCAATATATTCTCCTACTATCCTATGTGCAACCATACTGCCCCTTACAAAACTTGGACTGGATATTTATAGTTCCTGCCCAAATGCAAACACTTCAAAAACTTGAATGGATTTTTAAACATTCCAACATCTTAATCAAAATGGAGTCCCATTATGAGATGTTTGAACGTAGGCAATAATTGACACAATATTTTCTCTATATAGGTTTATTTGATTAGCCCATGATCAGAGGAATACCCTGAACATGCTCTCACATTTTAAATATGCCCACTCATTTACAAAGCTTGGGGATCCCTGCCATAACATATTTATGAGGGAAAAATCCTCTTGACCTGTGTGGAATTTCTGAGTAAACATGTTTTGGAACAAAGTGTTAGACAAGTGATCCTGCAAATGGCTTTGTGCCATTAACTGCTGTATAACCAGTGCATTTCCTATTATTATTCAAGAATGTTAGACTTTCTTGGATTTCTGACTTTAAAAAGTGACCATCCATCTCTCCCCAAGAGATGGAAATCAGGGGAGCTGCTGTTCTCCAAGATAAAAAAAAATGTCCCCTGTGAGTTTCTGCCTATTGTGTAGCCTTTTTCCAGCAGTGGAAAGGCGTGGCACTGCTCTTGCTCTGCATACTGAAGTTGAACATCTTTTTGCCAATGTTCCTTTTTCTTTATTGGTCACATACAACCAATCCTTTAGGGAGTTGGTTCTTCTTTTGCGGTTGCAGCATGGCCAACAAGGTGCCTTGGTTTGGCTCTTATACAGGGCCTCTTCCCTCCCCTGATAGGTACCAAGGATCGCAGGCCACGGCCCAGCAACTCTCTCTTTCAGATCCGGCCTGTGCTGGATACTTGGAAGGTTTCCGTTCTGCTTGGGCTTGGTCAGCAGCAAAGATCAGCGAGAACGTGGGGCGGTACCACCGTCAGACCACTAACAGGAAGGGGACGGTTCTTGATCCAAGGCCAGCTTGGACTGATGTGAAGCAATTTCTCAACCTGACTTTACATCATATTCGGGGAAGTTGGGGAATGATTGCCTTCTTTTGGGAACTTTTGTGAAGCTGCAGCAGGGAGGAAAAGGAGAAGTGGAGAAATACTGCTTCTGAGCACCCACTGTAATGAGGGTCTAATGGGCAACCGTGCCCCATGTGCTTCAAAGCTATGGAATTATTGCTGATACACAAATCCTAAGTAAATATTTGGCCAGCGGTAGCTTCCTGCCGGATATTCCTGGACACACAACTTTGCTGGCATATCTGTGTGACCGTGCTGGGAAGATTGCTGGTGGCGAAGAAAGTCATGCAGGCTACAGCTGTCTTGATTCTTGTATTGCTCTGCACCTTCAGCAAAGGTGAGGATCTCCCCTACCCACATTTCTAAATCTCCACAGGGTACTTCTTTCTTGTTTCAGTAACTCCCCAGAATGCAGAAGGTCCTGGTTCTCTGTACCGTAAGTTCTATAACCAGGAGATGTTCTCAGAAGAATCCTTTTTCCTTTGTTGTTTACCAAAGCTTTCTGCCCTGAGAAACTTCTATCCACATATAAGTGGGTAATGGTTCCTGCATAAAAGCCAGACACTTCTATCCTGGTTCTGCTGAGGTCTGTCCTCTATAGAGAGGAATAGCCATTGTCTCCCTCTGCCTTCTGATCAGGTTTCTCATGTCCCTCCACAACCATTGTTTTTTTACTAGAAACTCTTTTTTCTGTCACTTCATCATGACATTGCCTTCATCTCATCCCCAGCTTATACCTAAAGTCATCCTTAGTTGTTTCACTATTTTGCCCTTGATGTAGGCAAGAAGACATGGTTTTCCCATGAGTGCAATCTGGCAAGCTTCACCTACTATTCAGTTGATGTTACAGTTAGATGACACCTAGGAGGGTGGGGCCTAGGGGCCACCTAGGCCAGTGTGGGTATACCCCATCTCCTCTGGCCCCTTGGTACATCTTCCATTCTGCTTTGTGCAGTGGGAGAATACGGTTCTTCTAAACCAGCCTCATTTGCTGTACCCACCAGACCCCTGAGCTGATAATCAACTCAGAAGTCTGGATCATCCTGAATAGTAACTGACCAGCAGTGGCTGCACAGTGAAGTAGAAAAGAGAGTTGGTTCACTTTCTCCTGCTTCACCGTACAGCTTTCTCTCTACCACTAAGCTGCTATTGGGCTTCGTTAGAATATGGATTTAGCTGTATTCTGAAGCAGCACAAAATCTGTGCCCAAAAGATGGTCAGCTGAGGTTTGGCAAAAGTGATAGACTCCATTTGAGTGTGCCCATAAAGAACGCTTGTGGCAAACCAGACATTCGTTGACAGGTGGCTATCAAAACGTTCCTCCTCCCCCAGCCCTAGCTCCATCACCAACCCAAGTTAAGGAGAGTGATTGGGATGTTTTTCTGCCACCTGGAGGAAGGACAGGGAAACAAGGCTGGGAAAACCTAACTTAATATGCTCTGAACACTAAACTGCAAATAAGGATCGCACCATTTGCCAACATTGTGCCAGTAACAGGGTAGGGATTACCAGTGAGGGGAGTCCATTTTATGCTGCTATAGGTTCATACAAGAGCCAGTTTATCTAGTGGTTAAGATGCTGGACCACTAGCAACCTGAGTTCATGTCCTACCTTAGGCATGAATCCAGCTGGGTGACTTTGGGCCAGTCACTGTCTCTCAGCCTTAGGAAGAAGCCAGTGGCAAACCACTTCCAAAAATGTTGCCTAGAATATTCCAGAAGTCAAGACTGACTCAAAGGAAAAAAAAGTTTATTGCAGACTCAAGGAATGGTGGGTAGCATTTTAACACAGCCACGAGGAAGAGAACTTTAACAGATTTGTGGCAAGCATTCATTAAGTAAAGCTTTCTGGCTGGCTGTTAGCAAGCTGTTGAATGTCTGTGACAATCACAGAAACCTTCCCTCTTTTTTCCAACTTCTTAGCCACATATTCTGCAATTAGGTTTGCTACTACTTTTTTTTTTAAACCAGGGTACCTCATGTGCAATACTGTGTGAGAGACAGAAATGGAGTAGATACAATATCTTCCCAGTTTTCCACACTGGAAAACATCTACGCATGATTCATGTCTGCCTGGCGTGCATCTGTTAAGCATATAGCACTTTGCTCGGGAAAGCCTCAGATACCAGAATCACACAGTCTCAGCTGAGCCAAGGAACTTCCCTTGTGCTAAGCTAGTCTCTTTATTCTACCACATTAAAACAATGCTGACATTGAATCCTCAAATCCTTAGAAAAGGCTATGATTTAACCGTGCTAATTTTCTTTTTTCTCCTATTTCCCCCTCGCTCCTTCCTGTCTTAGAGATTGCTAGGAAGCTGTATTATTGAGGCACGTTGGGCTATCCTCGTGCTTGTCTCCTCTTGAGAATGGGTCTTGTTCTTTGCAGAGGTCCAGAATGACTGACATTTTCTATGCTCGCCAGGTCACCGTTCTCCACTGAATGGCTTCCAGAGGCTAAAGTCTACTCAGCTGATCTCTTTGCTTCAACAGGGAGTGGAGCGGACCGCTGAAGTGGAGGAGTGTGCACGCCAATGTGCCACCTTGGTGGACTGCAGGTAAGGGGGGAAAGCCACAGCGTCAGGCAGGTGAGCTGCGGGTCCCCCGGGCGAGCTCAGGCAGTTGCCTTACCCCGAGCCGGGCCCTGGCTTATCTAGCTGGCTGCGCTCCGGGAGCCCAGGCAGGAGTTCCTCCTTGCTCTGCCCAGGATCCAGGAGGAGTCTGAACTGAAAAGGTCATTTTAAGCTGGGAAGGCTTGTCCCGGTCCTGCTGCTACCCAACATCCTTGGGAGATCTTGTGCTCGCAGCTGACTTTGGTCTCGAAAAAAGCTGAGCAGGTTCAGATGTGAATGAGAGGCTACCAGGAAGTTCCAGGGCTGAAGGCAAAACAAACAAACAAACAAACAAACAAAAAACCCAGAAGTGGCAGGCTACTTCTCTTTTGCTTCCAAGAAAATGACATGAGTATGTCATGTAGTCCCCAAGAGGTGGGCTCGTAATTGTAATGAGCCTGTATGCATGCAAAGCATATGTTTTGCACGTAAACTCTTCTTTACATACAAAAGATATGCTTTACTAGACCTTTGGGGTGGGCGATGCATGTCTCATGTGTTCATTTCACTTCATGCATACGTGACTTTAATATGTACATGGGGGTGTGTGTATGTGTGCATGTGTGCGTATGTATGTGTATGTGTGTATGTGTGTGTGTGTGTATAATACACACACACACACACACATACAGTAGTATATATATATATATTATAAAAATAAAAATAAAAATAAAGCAGGAGAGGGAAGGAGCTATGATGGTGCGCTGTGCTCTCAAAGGAACTGCTTACCAAGGCCAAGCATTTTGAGTCCCATTCTCAGGTTTCCCAGTGTTTGCTTCTTTGCTTGAGAGCCGGCCCAGCCCTTTCTCCCCCACCATTTCAGAGCAGTGGCCCAGAGACAGGCAACTTTTAAGTCCGCTGCGAAAGTTTGAGTCCTGGGGGCATGTCACGAATGCTCTCACAAAATGGCAAGGCTCAACCATTAAACAAAAAAATTAATTGTTTATCAAAAAGCCAGCTGGCAAGATGGCTCTTAGCCAATTCGTTTGCTCCAAGATGCTTTCTATACCTCTGTTTACTTTTTTTTTTTTTTGGTCTTTTATTCCTGAAGAAAGCATTGGGTTGCAGCCATAGCACTCGGATGGCAAGTGTGCTTAACTGCCCATTTCTATTTTCCAAAAAGGCCTGTGGGGCCTATTTGGGAACCAGCAACTTCTTGTACATATGGAGGATGTTGCAGGTGGGCATTTGCATTCCATATGCCAGCTGCCCATTAAAAAAAATCAAAGCATGTATTTCTTTTTAACAAATGAAAGTCGTGTGAAGAAGGAAACCTGTATAAAGCTGCATACCACTGTATTATGAAAGGCTGACCTGCGAACCAGGAAATTCTAATCTTGCCTCTAGGAGGGCCCTATCTCTCACCCTCATTCACCCAAATAATAATAACAGCAACAACAACAGCTTGTTTGATGTAGCAGTTTAAGGCAGCAGGCTAGAAACCGGGAGACCCTGAGTTCTAGTCCTGCCTAGGCACGAAGCCAGCTGGGTGACCTTGGGCCAGCCACTCCCTCTCAGCCCTAGGAAGGAGGCA